ATTATGCCATCTCTGCCGTTCGCTGCGCTGTTAACCTGAGATGGCCGGGGACAAGCACTGATTACACACCACGGACTTGTTCTCTTGTACTTCGAAGAATTCTAAGAGGATAAAAAGTAAAAAAAAAAAGAATTGTGTGGGTGGAGGAGGAGTAGCAGATCTGAAGAAGTGATTCCTTTCTCTACAAAGATATGGCAGGTATGTTCTGTGCTCCGTTGGCATTCACAAAAGAACTAACCAACTTTACGAAAGTTGTTCACCAAGTTCCGACATTATTTATTCTTTCCTCTCGCTCCGGTGATTTACGCCCTCACCAGATGACAGTTTCCAAAAACCTCTCACCTTTTTGGAGCCTTGCTCCTCTTCCACTCCATCTCCGACAACAATGTAAACAACTTTCCTCCCAAACCTCTGAATAACTCGCTCGAAGCAGCTCTCCTTCCCTGTGGAAGATGAAACAGGGGAGGGGAGAGGTGGAAGGGGCGGTTAGTGAAGCAATGCATGGATGCAAACAGACACACAGGTCCATATGTGCGTATTTGCAGACTCACACCATGAAAGGCATTATGTTGGCTTTAAGGGCACAGAGTGACAGAAGTCTGCTTTTTAAAAACAGCACAAAGAAAGAAAAAAAAAAGACCTGAGTGCAAACGCTTTGAGCCGAGAGAGTGGAGATGAGATAAGATCAGACTTCAGATAAAGACCAGTTGAAGAGCACCAACCCACTGCTTTCTCCCACTCAAGCATTTGAAAAATCTAATCAGTGGAACAGCTTCATTATGACCAGCACCAGTGTGGAGAAAAGTCTGTCTGTAACAAATGGTCTGTTGTTGGACAACATGAAATCATCAAGTACAGAAGCTTCAAAGCTGGGGCCCGTGGACAACATGTGGTCCTTCACTTAACATCAGGTCACAGACAGACGTGTCTTAAGAGGTCTTCGCTACTAAACCAGAGGACATTTTGAGACACTGGTGCCTTTACTTTCATAGGAAAAAGTCATTCAGAAAAACTATCTACGTAGTGATGCAGCATGCAGTAATGGAATATGAAATATTATTTATGATGTGATCCTCTGTTTCCTCTGTCTCTTATAGTAAAATTTCAGCTGCCAAAACCCACACAGTGATGTCATTGGACTTTCCTACACAACCTACACAACACTGCTGTTATGTTTACTGCCTAGTTTTTGAGACTCAATCTGAATAAGTCTCAGTATAAGAACTCGGCATCGACAGGTACAGAAATCGTCAACTCATATTTTTTATTAAATAATCGTGTTAGAGAAAACCCCTCATTGACTGATTTTACACTTTCAACTGTAGAGAGGGGATAAAGAATGACTCATGTGTCAATTTCTCCTAAATCAGCCAAAACAGCATCAGTTTTTTTAGCAAAAACTTGTGTGTTTAACGTGCCAAAGAACCCTGAGATGAACTCTGCTCCGACTCTGGGCTGATGGGCCCGAAAACAGAGCAGGAGTGAAGGTTGATGTTTATTTTGCATTTGAAACAGCAAAGAGGAGAAGGACCGGAGGAAAGAGT